CAGCATAAATGTCCGGATCGCTCGAAAAATGGTTTCATGTAAGTTTTCCCAATGCTCTCTTGAGATTTGGAGTTTTTGTGTGGCGTATTTTGGGATCGGCCGAAAATATAAACTATGTAATAAATTCATCAGAGAATCACTGATTGTGAGCTACGCAAGCATTTGATGTTGTTTTTGAGAATGAATAGTGCGCATACTCATTCATATTTAGTGATACAACATCGGGAGATTGTCTCTTAACAAATCAAAATAGCCATTTCTGTCTCATGCTCACCTATGCATTACTGATTTGGTATTGTATCACACAATATTGAAGGGTACGGTAACATGGTGTCTGTTTTAATGCAATTGAATGAACGTGATTAGCGTAAAAATTACCAATTGTTTAGCAATGTAAACAATTGAAATGTTTTTGATGATCGCAGTAGAAACAGGGAAGCGAGTTCGTCTGATCGACCAACATCGCATGAAAAGCGATTTGACATTACCATTTCTGTGGTCATCTCTGCTTCTGCTATAGTTACCTTTGTCACGGTTACCAATTGAAACTCCTTCCTCATCAGTCCATATTAGGTCGCATTTTATAAGTACTTGTGTGGCAAATGAAGCCGGATCTCTGTGCTATGACTAGAGTCCTGTCTCGGGATAAATGTAACAGTTGAAAACAGTGTGATCGCCTAAACCTAAATCAGTCTAAATTGCATAAATCAGTCCGGTTCTTCATCGATAGCGATGTTTTCACTGTTCTATCTGGTCGTGACCTCAACTTTACCGCTGAACAAACTCACTATCAGTGTATATCTCATCTCATTCGAACTCGAAGTGTTTCATAACCCATAATCATTGGTTTAATTTCTAACCGATCCAGAATATAATTTCATACTCGAGTGAATTTGAAATTCAACAGACCACATATAATTGCTTGTGAATGAGCACATGAACACCAGATTCATAGTTTTTAAGTGAAGATTATTCGTTGTAGGAGACATCGTTTCATGGCGAAATCCACCTTTCTGTCATCCACTCATCAGAACTCTCAAACTCCTAGCACTTATCTATCGAATGGAAGCAGCCATGGCGGTGAAGGTGTCTACACAAATGGAACCAGCACCAAAACCAAGGATCCTTATAGTGATGATCCATTTTTAGCTGAGTAAGTCATTGACCCTCAAATGTCTGAATTCCTTTTCATGATTCGTGTAAGTGTGCTGTCACACTCAACATTCACCTACAATACTGTCAATTGCATAGCGATTAAAACATCGAGAAATCTGTGAGCACCGATCATTCTGGTCACAAATCGGTATCCAATTATAAATCTGAGGTTCCAGTGATCTGGAATGGGTTCTTTACCCGTCATCGTTTGTTTGATTTCTAATCGACGTAGAATGTACCCGAAAACGTTCATCTTACATTGACAGAAAAATCATATATTCTCACCGTTCTGGTACAGAAAGAGACTCAGAACATATTTGAGATATTTCCATAGTTTCGATAAACGTTGACATATTTGTGAAGATTTGTCAATACTTAAATTAATTGCTTGCAGATACACTCCAAATATATCATTGATTCAGCTGGGTGAACCTATGTATTCCACAAAGGGTCCCAACGGTATTGGCCAAAAATGGGACAACAGTACAGATAAGGAAACGAAACGAGCTGATAAGGCTGATAGTGAAGTGCAACAAATAAAAACCACTCGTAAAAAACAACTTCAAAAATCCGTTATCGATGAATATGTTCAACGTAATAAACATAAGGTTTCTTTTTCATTTGGTCAAATTTTAACTTCACTTTACTTTTCACACTGTTTTGTGTTAAATACAGTTGATGTGTTTGGGTGTGTTGTTTAATCGTATTTTTCGATCGGACGAATAAAAGCTGAACGCAAGCAACGGTAATCTATCACGGCGATATGCGATAGCCATCGAAATAGTATCGTTAAATTTGATTGCTGCGTTAATGCTATCGCTTGCACATAAATATAACATTTATAAATGAGTTATCGCCTGGAGGGATAGGG